TCATACAGATCCTGGAAGTTATTTTAACCATCTACTTCAGAATTTTCCGAATCTCTCTCTCTCGCAAACCTATGTTCACACATCTCAGAGGAAGTGTACTTGATCTTTCCTTTGTATTTGCAGCACTACTATTTCTAGCAACCTGGACTCTCCATCCATCACAACCCCCTCTTGACTTGGATTCCCGGGAGAAAGAGATTGTTGCCACCCTTCATCACCCCCAAGCCGATTCAGCAATCCGTGGTATTACAATGATCGACTCCGAGAACTCAGGCGCCGACTCGTCATACTCCGGTAAACACTCAAATGACATTTCTCTCCAACCATTCTTGAACACTTCCGGGTGGCTCACAGACTTATTCGGAAGGAGATCCAGGAAATTCGTACCAACTCCTGGTTAGACTGGTGTGAGTCCCTCAATGCTCACACTTCACTTCACGACCTATGGACAAACCTTAAGATAAACACAGAAAACAGCCCAGTCACCCTCAGCCATTGCAAATTTCAAATGATTTCCTCTAGTCTATCCATGCATGAATTAGTACTTTACAGTTACCTCATTCTACCCTAAACAGAATTCAAGACCTTAATGCCTGAAAGGGAAAAGAGCATCCGCACAGTGATCGTTCTCCTGATGTTCCATTCACTGTTAGAAATCAAGAGAGCACTCAAAACCAGCAACGAAACAGGCCCAGGCATAGACCGGATCTTCTCTAAACTAACCACCTTAATGATCATGCCCTCAGCCAAATTAACCGTCTTCAAACACTCACTTTTAAGTCGGCTACCCTGGAAAGAAGTGAATGTTCAACCTGTCCCTAAGAACATCACACCAGCTACTTACCATCCCATATCATTAGTTCTTGTCTCAGCAAGAAAATGGAAAGAGCAATTTTGGCGAGACTCCCATCCTAACCAGCACATTTAGGCTTACTGTTAGGGTCTCGGAACCAAAGAAAATTGAGCAGCACCCTTGATGGAAAAGGTCGTATTGTTGCTTTTCTTCTCTTGGAGAAGGCATTCGAGCTGGCGAGATGGGAAGTAATAGTACACATCTTTGCCTCCAGAGGCATCTCTGG